AATAATAAAGATTATGTTGAAGTTAATCCAAAAGCAGCTCTGATAAAAATCTATTCACAGATGACAAATGACTTTAGTTTATAGATAAAGACTCTGTGGTTGTTTAATTGATATAAAATGAACAACGTGATCGTGTGTTGAACGTCTACTGGATCTTTTAGTTTGCGACAAATGATTTGATGTGAAGTTTGGTGAAGAAGACGACATTTGATTTGATTTATTGATGATCAGGATTCAAGTTTTCCCTCTAAAACAAATTTAAGTTGTGTTGTTTATTAACTGTGTTATTGTTTGATGTATAAATACATCAGGGTCTTTTTCAGCGTTCACCCAGACTCATGGTCTTCTTCAGTCCACTGTGACTTTCATTCAGTTTATAACGATGAGTCATATTGAAAACATGAATTGTTATTTGATAGAGATATATGAAATATATTATATGAAACAGTGAATCATTTAGAAGGAATCCTGAAAGAGTCTGTAAATAAAGAGAAGAATCAACTGATGCAGATGAATCAGATCAGCTGATTTATCACATCATCAAAATCAAGTTTTCAAATTCATCACTCTTTTAGGAAAGTAAGAAAAGCGAGCACGCACCTGTGCATTCCACTGCAAACTCTCCAGGAGGTGAATGACCCTCCTGGTCTCTTCCGTGACGTCATGTGGTGACTTCCGGCCGCGGACTTCAGCGGGTTGTGGTCCGGACCGGAGCCAGTTCGAGGCCGACATCAGGGTCTGGTAGAAGACACAGAGCGCGGCCCCGAGGAGCAGCAGCAGCGGCCCGGGGCCCGAGCAGCAGCAGCGGCGGCGGCGGAGCAGCATCCCGGCCTCCGCTCACATCACCGCCGGGCCGAGCCTCATGTCCATCGGCCTCAGCGCGGTCCTCGGCCCGGTCCTCGGCCCGGTCCTCGGCCCGGTCCTCTCTGGTTCTGGTGTGGAGAGCGAGCTCCTTCAACTCGACTGTTTGAAAAGATGTTAAAAATGAAATAGAACTTTATGATGAGTTATTTTTCCCCGAATTGACCATCAGACCCAGAGGTCTCTGTATATGAATAAACAATGATATTAACTCAAAGAACTTCAATACAGAACCAGATACAATTTTAAATCTGTATATTTTCAGAGGAGTCTGGTGGTAAAACGCTTTTCTACTGAAGCGGCAGAAAGTTCAGAGACTCTTTGATTTGACCAAAGATCAGTGTTGGATGATTTATGATTATGAGGAATTCAAACGTTATTAAATCAGGTTTCACTTTTCACAAAGTCTCTTCAGGATTCAATCTCAAGTTAAACTTGTTTTAAACTGGACTTCATCTGTTCTTAATACATTTAAAGAAGAACACGGAGAACATTAACCAGGTTCCACCGAGAACACACAGAACCTCCGCTCAGCTGATTCCACTCACCCGACCTGGACCCATGACGGAACCGAGGAGAAGCACCGGAGAGCTGACGTTAGAGTCCAGACAAAGTCCAGACAAAGTCCCGTTAGAGTCCAGACAAAGTCC